TCTATTATGTATCTAGCTTCAAAACTCACTGATTTACCCTACAGCTATACTTTGACCTTCAGTTTCTTAAATATGTTGGAAAGATTCTCATCTGAAGGCCTTTCATACGGTCTTCTGTCTACAGGAAGCACTATGTCTGTCTACATGAACTCTTACTTTGTGAAAGCCATTCAAAACACACCTTCTAGGTGGATGCACAAGTACCAGTCAATCCTTCAGATAACTGCAACCTCATAATAGAGCATGAATCAGAAATATCCACCTAAGTAACTCTCAAGTTCCTGACCCTAGAAATTGTGGTATAATAAAGGTGCATTTTTTAGGGGGAAAAAAAAAAAAAAAAAACCACACACCTTCCTCCCATGCTTCCACGCTTGGGTCAAGTGTCCTCTTCCACGCCCTCAAAGAACCCTACACTTCAGTTATCACAGAACAAAACACACACACACACACACACACACACTTTATTGTATATCTGTATCTCCACTTTCAGGGACTATAAATTCTTCAAGGATGAGGGTAATTCTATTAATATTTTTTGGCTCCAACTTTTCAGACACTTAAATTTGAACAATGCCAAAAACCTAAAGAGTAGATTTTCATTTTCTTAAACTACAAATGATGATGTAAACCCCAAGAATCTCTTAAATTATCTAACATTCTTTAAAAAATTTTTTTGTAGTCCCACACAAATTATATATATATAATATATATATATATATATAAATAATTTGTGTAGGACTACAAAAAAATTTTATATATATATATACACACACACACACACACATATATATTCCCCTATATGGACCTACTGTTATTGACAAATTATGGTTGGTTAATAAATGCTATTTATATTAAGAAGGGATAAAATGAAGGAAGTCAGAAATGGTCCTGGAATCTGATAACAATGTGGCAGGAATAAACACACTCACCACCTGAGCATTAATAAGCAATTAGATGTCAGAGGTTATTATTTGGAGCAATTAGCACTAAGATGTGATCAGAGCTTAACCCTACCAGAGGCCAGTAGTTTTCCAAATTGCTAACTGGCTTGACAAAGATATTTATGACTTTACTTCAAGACTGCACAGTGACAAGAACAAAATCTTTGTGGACAAACAGTTCTGATTGGAATTTCTGCCCCAACACTACTAGCTGTATAACCTTGGGCATGTCACTTTGTGAGATGCCCTGTTCTGACAGATGGGGATATATAACACTGAATTCAAGGAGATGTTATGACAATTAAAGGGCATAATAAACATTGAGTGCCAGACATTCAATAAATGATAGTTCCCTTCCATTTTCTACTTCCTTTTTTTCCAATAAGTAAGTTTTTCCAGAGCAAACCTCCATTGTGTATCATTTGGCTGGAGTAGCCCAGGGCAGGGTACCTTGGGGTCTAACAGCATCAAAGGAGCAGCTTCTCGGAAGAGTTTTTCATGAATGTCTTACAGGAGACTGAAGACTCCACTGTCATGTGTTTGGTCACCCTCTATGACCAACAAGTGATATTCCAACATATAAAAGAATATGGTGGGGCTGGGGTTGTGGTTCAGTGGTAAAGCGCTTGCCTCGCACACAAGAGACACTGCGTTCAATCCTCAGTACCATATAAAAATAAATAAAGATATTGTGTCCATCTTCAACTAAAAAGTATTCAAAACAAAACAAAACAAAAAAGAAACAAAGAACATGGGCTTGAACTCTTCAATCCACCCCAATCTAGGACTGAAGCTCCAGTCAAAAGAAGAAAGCCACTACTGTGGCACTCTATTACCAGTTACCACCAGACTTAATAGTACAGTAGTTATACTTTTCACCTATAAGTATCCTTCTCACCCACAACCCCAAAAACTTTACAAAAGAAGGAGGTTGCTCTCTGACAGTTGAGCTGACAAGCAGCCCCACTTCCTGCATCTGAGCACACACTTCCACAGGAACTCAATTGACTGTTGAAATTTAAGCACTGCCTCAGCTTACGACAGAAGCACTGCACCTGGGAAGAGAATAAAGCAAATCTAATTCTCTATTTCTATAAATCTATTTCTATGGACTAAAGACCCATAAACCCTGAGGTACAGAAAACTCTTCACACATACACCTCTCACACCTCTACTTTTCTCTTTAGCTGCTTTTGTTGTCAGTGGCCCAACAAAAAAGGGAGAAAAGTCTTTATATATTTATTTATTTATTTTTTAGTTGTAGTTGGACACAATACCTTTATTTTGTTTATTTATTTTTATGTGGTGCTGAGGATCGAACCCAGGGTCTCAAACGTGCCAGGAGAGCGCTCTACTGCTGAGCCACAAACCCAGCCCTCCCCTCCCAGACAGTTCTTAATTCATTTGTTAGACCTCTTTTTTTTTTTTTCAGAGTAGACCTTTTCTTGAGGATGAAGGGGATTGATGTTTACGCCTTTAACAGGCTAAGAAATTGACAACATGTCCTAGCATGAGGCTGTACAGCTCAAGTGTCCACACCTGCTATTAAAAACTAACCCAACAAGACATCAACTGACAAAATTCCCCCCATGCCCTACTTCACTCTTCTATTTGGAAGTGAGGAAGAGGGGTGGAAGGAAATGGACAAAAGGGTATCACAGGGGTTCAGGCTGTTTTAATTTTTACTTATTTTTATTTTTTGTGATATAGAGAACAATACTAGAGTCTCACAAATGCTAGGCAAGTGCTCAGCCACCGAGCTATACCCTCAGCCCTGTTTTACTTTTAAAATCACCAGTTCTTCCCTCTATTATAAAGTCTTTCAAAGACTGCAAAAACATTCATAACTATTTTCTTATGCCTGGAATATAGGCAGATTTTAGGAGGAACTGGGGAATGATATTAGCCAAATTACATTGTTACAAGTGTGCCTCCATGAATATGTAACAATGAATCCTATCACTGTGTACAACTATAATGAACCAATAAAAAAAATATGGAAAAAAAGTAGTAGCAGCCCAAAAGCCTGGAAATTAGGCAATGTGCCTGAGGGCACATAAACAAATGATAAATAATCTTCTCTGGGTGCCTCCTAAATAAGCCATATTTCAGACCCTGGATCCTCCAGAATATCCAAGCCAGAAAGAGAGCTTAAGGAAATGACTCAGATTTTTTTTATATATACAAGGCTCAAACTACCTCCTCTGTTCACACACATACATGCCTTGAAAGTTGAGCTGCTTGGGCTCAACTTCCAATTATCCAGGATTATTGGAAAAGTGTTATGATTTAGGTAATAAAGGCAAAAACAGGGCTGCTTGTAAAGAGGTTAATTGAGGACTCCTATTAACTAAATCCAGGCCCTGGGATACAAAATTAAATACAATTATTTTGCTCCTCGCTAAAAACTGTGCTCCTGCTACTTACCACCTTTCCAAAGACAGACTATTCATGACTCCTCCCTATGTCTCCTTCCATTTTCCACATGACCTTTCATAAGAAAAATAATTCTACTACATACTTTTCTTCCTCTTTGCTTTTAAAATAATAAACTTACTGGCAACTCGGCATTATACAGGAAGAGGCCCTATCTTTGCCAGGGGATACTTACAATGTACTTAATTACTAGCCCAATTAGAGTGAAGCAAACTAACCACATTCTTTTTTCTCCCCAGCCTAGGTACCTGAACTTATCTGTTTCTCTCCTGCATCACGCAGAGGTGATCTCAATGCATCCATAATTCTGTAATGAGCTAAGAGCAACATGAGTTTAGGTTATGAGTTGGAGTCATATGATTCTCCTTTTCCTGGAATCACATGCTAATGCTCTAATTTGAAACTTGAAAGGCAATACTAAATAAAACCAGCAAGTCATTTTTTTTTTTTTTCCAGTGCTGGGGATTGAATCTGGGGCCTTGCGTATGCTATGTAAGCACTCTACCACTGAGCAACATCCCCAGCCCAAATCATCTTCTTTTTGATGATCTTAGAAATAAACAAAAATATCAATGCCTTCTTAACAACTTTTACACAAAGTAGCCCTTTAATGTTAATATAGCCAATTAAAAAATTACAAAATATCTGCTAGTTGCAGCCATAGTTATGGAATGACCAAAAGAGGTATTTTAGGAGGTTGATTAAATGCCACTTGATGATTAAGTGCCACTTAGTCACTTATTTAATATCTAAGGATGAGCAATGCAAATACTGAAAATTCCTTCAGAAGGATACAGATACTCATGATAATCTTCCATTTTAGAATAAAAGGACTGAGAGAAGGGATGGGATTATTCTGTTCAGGAACAATGATGTCCTAAGTATCTGGTAGATCTATCTATGTGAATACTTTCCCAATCCCATCCTTACCCATTTTCCAGGCCCCAGCCCCATCACATTCACCAGGTTAGAACTTTGTGCTCAGTCATAACCCTTTGCTCAAGAGTTCTTCTGGCCTGAAAAACCCTCCTCTCAATCCCAGCTAATTATACCTACCACCTCATTTTAAATGGCTCCTGGAAACTCACTTCCTTGAGAAAGTGTTCTATGATTTCTCTCACAATTTAAACATTTACTGGACATACTATGTGCCAGACATTTTAATGTACTTTGGCATAAGTTTTTGAATCTTGTCTCACCAATTTTGAGGGTCTTCTCTGGTGTCTTCTACCTAGCACTGGTCAGATTCATGGAGCCCCAGCCTCACTTGAATATGATCAGAATGATCATCTTAGATGTCTACTGGCACAATTTTCCACAATTTGATATCTTCATTGAACTGCAGTTCTACAGTAGACATTTTTGGGATGAATACCTAATATAGCCAAAGGAAGGATTACAGACAAGCCAGGCCCTAGAAGTCAGCTGAGTGAAGGAGTGAATGGACTAAACCTGGGAGTGCCTGAGAGAGCAAGCAGTAGGAGAAGGGCAAGAGGAAATGGAGTGTGTGATCAAAGTGTTGGGCAAAAACAAAAGGTGGGTGTCTGCAGAGATTTGAGGGGGCTGTCCCAAGGCAGCTCTTTCAGGGCGGGGTAACAAGATCGGGCAGGTGTGACTCACCTGATAAGTTAGGACGGGGCCAAGGACCCGAACCGAAGAGCACTTTACGGTAGCGTAGGAAGGCCTCATCGAGGACAGAGCAGCCCGGCTGCGCGGCGGACCTGGTGTGGTACCGAAATTGGAATTTGTAGGGGGAAAGGTTGTAGTACTGGTGGGAGGTTTGGATGTACTGGGGCCAGGGCCATAGGGCCGTTGCCCAGGTCGCGAACGCTGCCACCAGCAGCAGCGGAAACCAAAGCCTGGGGCCTGCCATGGCTCGCCGGTGACCTCTCCCTACAGCGGGCTGAGCCACGTGAGAGCCTGGTCAGGTGAGCGGCGCCCGCGTGACAATCGGCATGTCACGTGACCCAGACGTCTCATTCTCGGCGACCCGGGCTGGACAGTCTCGCGGCCTGGATGTGGAGCTCCAACTGCTTGCGACCCATGGTGCGCGACATCGGCCACGGCTCCCCGGGGCTGACGACTCACGGCCTGGGGAAGCAGAGAATGGCCGATCACCACCGAGGCCGCGACTCTATACTAGAATTACCAAGCGCGCTCCATTGCGGAAGCGCAGGACCTACGTAGGGGGCTGAAGGGAAAAGGCCCCGCTAGGGCGCGACCTGAACCGGGAGTGAGCGCTCCCCCGGCCTCAGGGGCGTTCCAGGCCAAGGTAACCGAAGATTAAAGCCACAAGTCCGTTCTGTAAAATGCTGTGTGGCTAGAAGAAGCTGGAATTCGGTGGTCTGGAGTGTTCTGCTAGAGAAGGGATCACAAGGTCACAACAATGTGATCTACTTATGACCTGAAAAAAATGTGTACTTTTAAAGCAAACTTGAGGCATCCATTGCCTGCCTCCACGTGGTGCTCTTCCCTTCATCGTTAATTATGAATCTCCTAGTTGACTGCCCTCAAATCCCCTCCCTCCAGACAAAATTCTACATACCCTGGTGGGTATTTACTGCAAGCAGCGGAGGTATTGCTGGGACCTAAAGCAGGAAGGAGAGTGCCCAGAAGTAATGACAGAGGCTTCTTCCTGTGGGGGCTGACAGAGAAAGTCCAAGAACCAGAACTTAATTCTGTGGACCGTTGAAAGTCATCCCAAAGATCTGTGTTTTAGAAATTATAGGCTGAAGAGTTGGATAGATAAAAAACCAATTAGGAGGCCCTTTTTATAGGAGGTAGAGACTAATGAGAGCCTGAACTACAGCAGTGGGGAAGGAAGAAAGCTGTAGGTCCAGGAAATAGGTATCCAGAAAAGAGGCTTGAGGAGTGGTCAGTCAGAATTCTACAGATTAAGTCAGACGTCCAATCTTCCTTGTTCATCACTATATTATTACAGCATAGTTGAGTGCTGCCAAGTCACACACAAGATTGTCTCTACAGTCTTTGGGTTCCAAAACTTGAAACCAATTCCATCCAGGCCCTGAAAATGAACAGTACCTTAGGAATTTGTGGGGCAATATTAAAAGTTCTAACATAGAGCAAGTTGAATCCTCACTGCAAAAGGAAATAAAAACCATGCTATGGTTTGCCATCACTTGGCTAGTAAGTACTTTTAAATTTTTTAAATAACTGACTTTGAGATATTGGGGATCAAACCCAGGGATATATCATCATTGAGCTGCATTTCCAGCCCTTTTTATTTTTATTTTTAGACAAGTCTTGCTAAGCTGCTCAGGTTGATGTTGAACTTGTGATCTTTCTGCCACAGCCTCCCAAGTCTCTAGGATTACAGACATGCACTGTGCTAACACTTGCATTCTTAATGCTGATTTCTTCACTGCATAAATCTAAATTTTCATCAGTACCAATAAATGGGTACTCCATCAGTCAATATCCAAAGTAACAACCTAGAGAATCCCAGAGTCATTGTCAGAAGAGCCAAGTTTATAATCAGATTTATAGGATCCAAAATTGAGGAGGGTTCACAGCAGGTTCAAAGGTAAAAGCAAGAGGTTTCAGGACTGAGTGTGTGCCAGAGCACCCTCTTCTGTGATATTCATCCCATGCCATGGGAGAGGAATCAGTCACAAGATTAAAGAGCTGGACTTGATGAAGAAATTATAAAATTACTAGTGAAAGTACTTACATATTTTTGAGACAATATTTCAAAATTTCAATCATTCTGTCTCACCAATATATCATACAATTAGAAAGTTAATGAATAACTATGTTTCTAAACAGTTATAACCTAAATAAATGTTCAGAGCCTAGCATAAAATAGTGAAAATGTAGCCATGTGCAGTGGCACACACTTGTAATCCCAGCAGTTTGGGAGGCTAAAGCAGGAGAATCTCTAGTTCAAAGCAACTCAGTGAGACCCTGTCTCTAAGTAAAATACAAAAATGATGTGGATGGATGTGGCTCAGTGGTTAAGTACCCCTGGGTTCAATCCCCAATACAAAAAAAAAAAAAAGGAAAGGAAATTTAAATGAGTAAGCAGTTCTTAGCAATATAAATTATTTAAATTACTATATATTCAGTATTTCCATCTATTTGTTTTTTGTGCATGTGGATTTAACCCAGGGACACTCAACACGAGCTATACCCCAACCCTTTTTAATTTTTATTTTGAGACATGGTCTCCCTAAATGCAGAGACTGACCTCCAACTTGTAATACTCTTGCCTCAGACTTTTGAGTCGCTACAACTACAGGTATGTGCCACTGTACACAGCCATCAATTTTTACAGTAGATTAATAATAAAAATAATGATACTAATAATATATAATGTTTGGTTGATTCTGTATTTTTCCTTTTATTAAAGGCAGCTGTTAAATTAATAAAAACATGATTTCATTTTTATAACTATAGCTTCTAATAAAGTCACTATAGATATCAGAAAAAGAATTTAGTGTCAGACAATGTTATTTGGCTCACAAATTAAGAGTCATCACTGCAGAAGCAGAGAGCAAAATGACTAATTTTGTCTGGCGAGGTCTTTTACAAAGAAGGTGACCTTTGGACTGGCTCTTAGAGTATGAGTTAGCCAGGCAGGGAAGGGGAGCATGAGCAAGGCACAGAGGTCTAAAAGAAGACGGTATATTAAATATAGGGTTTTTGGAATAGGAAAGGAATATGTCCCATAATTTCCTTACTTCCAAGCCCTCTACTGCCTTCTTGAAATACTTCTCCCACCTCCCACTCTACCACCTAATCAAACATCTAAACTTAAATTTTACCACCCTGAAAATCACTGACTTCTCAAACCTGGGTAAGATCCCCCTCTGGGATCCCATGACTCCCTGAGCTTATCTCTTTCAGAGCACTGATCCCATACTATTGAAAGTGTGTGTCCATTTGTCTGTTACACTTGAGGAAATGCTCTTTATGAACAGTTTCTGGGTTCCCTGTTATACTCCTAGCCCCTGGCACAGTATCTGGCACACAGTATAAGTTCAATAAGTAACTTGTTAAATGAATGACTGAGAGGCCTAACTATCTCTTCTTTTTTATCATCTACTTATTCTTTAGGTCTCAATCTAGACCAGCCCAACAAGGATGCTGTGAGTGGAGTATAAATGGCTGGACAGTGATCCCCTCAACTGGGGATGGGGCAGCTAGTGAAGAACTCTTTCCATATGTGCTGTGATGCAAGAAGTTTTTCAAAGCATTCCCTACTCTGGGGCTTTTACATAGCACCCTTATTTTAGCCTTTTTTATTTGTTTGTATCCCCTGTAGATCTCATATGAATGAGTATCCTTACTTCCTAAGCCAGGGCTCTGCACATAGTCTATAGCAAGTCATTGTTGAATGAATGAGGAAGGATTTGTGTTAATTTTTGAAGTCAGAATTTTGATACATAGAGGGAAAGAGCAGTCCATGGAGAAGGATGATAGTCTAGAAGGAAAACTTGTTTACTCTAGGATCTGCCTGGCAAGCAGCAGACCTTTGATGAATATGTTTTGGATGAATAAGATGAAAAAACTTAAGAGAAGATCGCTGAAGAATCTGGAAGGATTCCGGGAAACTACCCTATTTGGTTGGAACGAATAATGCGTGAAGAGAAATACTGACAAAAATAATCTTAGAAAGTAGGTTGAAGCTGAGTCAATAAGGGAAGTGGAAAACTATAAAATGAAGTACTATGTACCAGACATATGTTATATTTTTTTTTCACAATGGGGTGAAACTGAGTATAATCTACATTTTACAGATGAGAAAACTAGCTCTCAGAATTAAAATAATTTGACCATAGACCTCAAATTACCATAGATAGTTGACAGAACCAGTATTTGGACCCAGGTCTTTTGCTCCAAAATCTGTTTTCTTATATGTTTATAGTACTTCTTTAAAAGCTGGACTGCATATTGCATTGAAATTTTACTCTTGAGTCCATGGGAAAACAAAATTTTTTAAATTTACTTATTTATTAGTTATAGGTGGACACAACATCTTTATTTTATTTTTATATGGTGCTGAGGATCGAACCCAGTGTCTCACATGTGCTAGATAAGTGCTCTACCTCTGAGCCACAACCCCAGCCCTAAAACAAATTTCTTTAGTGAAGGAGCAACAAGGCCAGAACTAAGATAAATCTGCTAGCATATATACAATATATATTGAGTGGGGAAAGCCTAATTTGGTAATGATTATCTCTGAGCCAAGTGGCAAAGAAATTTCTAAACAACCTGAATATCCCCGTGTGCTATGGGATTCAGAATTCACTTGGGATTGATAGCTTCATTTCTGTCACAGTGGCCAACTATATCAACAAGACTTTAAACTTTATTAAATTAATTTTAAGTAGAGAGTGCCAAAATTGTCTTTGCTTCTTGGGGACTCTCTTTAAAACCATTTCATCTCACAGGGGAGCATCTTTGCCTCTACTGCACACTGTTCTCTCTAAGCTCCTCCCTTCCTAGTGCTAGATTTATAAAACTTTATGCAATTTCCCACTAGTGAACATGTACAATTTCTTTTGTGTAGTTAGTATTCTGTGTTGCATTTTCCTTTTTTAGCCCAATTCTTTATTTTCTCCTAGTCATATAATCATCTCAGTTATCTTATTCAGGTTTAGTCTATAATTCTCAGCAGGCTTTCCCAAATCTAGACACATACTCCTTGTAATAATTGACCTCTCCAGTCCTGCCACACATTTCCTGGGCCATATTTTTCTTTATGGTATACATTTTTTACACATGTGTCTTTTTGCATGCACATTTATTCTGAACTTTTGAACTTCAGGCATGGAACTACATAATAATTAAATAACCATCCAGATATGGAACTACATAATAATTAAATAACCATCCATACAACTTCATTTACACTTGTCATTCACATTCTCCAAACTTCATTGGACCAAGGAGATAT